TAACCTCTTTTTGACCTATGAAACCAGCTACACTCCCTGCACTTGTCAATTCAGATTACTTCCCTGACCTTTGAAGGACATAAATAAAGGTCGAAGGTCAACTCCGTGACCTTTGAAACAAAACTAATCATACTAAAGGATTTACAGAGTTTCTAGTTGGCAAACATCGTCATCCTGACTTTGATAACTTGAATCTGATACCTATTAATTTTATTTAAAAGAGAACACAGGCCGAGGCTTTGTCTTGTAATGTCAGACTCAAATTACGATAAAGGAGGTCAAAATGTTTTGCGTTCTCGTTTTTTAGGGTTAAGTGATTTAATGCGAAAATTCTGAATGCTTACTGGATCAGTTTTAGGGTAGCGTATTTTCATCTCTGTTTTAATTTTTAATTTGTTAAATTGATAGAAAACCGTCTATCTATCTGTCATTCAATTATATTTTGAATTGCAGTCATTGTCGGAGTTCATAAAGCTAACGATGGATGTTGTTATTTTTAATGTCCGTCTGGTAGATTGTTTTAAATCATTAGACACGTATTTATTATTTTCTTACAGAAACAAATACTTTCGACGATATATTGGTTTGAAATGTCGCGTGACGTCACTTCTGTGTACATTTTATACGTAGAAATGACGTTTTAGCTCCCACTCCTAAACTTTGATTCGTTTTATCTAAGTATTGTTTTATTATCCGCCAAAATAAAAAAATACGTGTCTAATATTGTTTCATTACCTTACTTACGGACTAATTATATTTTTAATTTTCATCCCAATTAGGTATAAGTTTTTTTTATATTCCTAAATCTAAAAATCTAAGTTAGCAGTAAGATTAGGTAGGTTAACAAAAATACATAATTGATAATTTTCTTTCAATTAAATTAGTTTAGTTATTACTTAACCTAATCTAATTAAAACTAAGAGAATACGATAGGGTTAGCGTATGTATGTGGATAAAAACCCCAAAATAAATAAATATAACTAAAAAATTGGTTTTATATTGACTGACAACATTATCGCATTAGGTGTAACCTGTTAGGATGTATTAAATTATTATCGTAAAATGAGGTGAATAGGAATCGAGAGCTGAATAGAGACAAAAGAGGGGTGAATAGATATTGGGAAATTCTTCATAGTATTGATTCTCCCCTCTTCTGTCTCCATTCACCTCTCAATCCCTATTCACTCCATTTTACCATATGTAAATTAATAAAGGTTTTTTGTTCAAATTCCTTTGTTTTTCATTTTCAAACAATAATAACTAGTATAGTAATACCTTAATCTTGCCAATTTACTAACCTCCATTACAGTATTCAACCTCATTTTAATACACATCTCAGAATTTTTTAAAATATTAATTATTACATCAGAAGTAGGGAAACTTTTCATTGTTACTGTCAAAGTTTCAAACCCATCTGGTTGGTCTTAGGACTAAGTAGTTTTTATAATGTCCGACAGTAGCAAAAGTATTATTAATTTTCTTTGTTTTTCAATCAAGATTTAACTAGTCTTTTAAGATAAAAGCCTGATTATCAATCTTTTGGAAAAGCCTTTTCCTAAGATCTTAGGTGTCTAGAAGATGAGAGTTAACATAAATATTTTTATTATCTAAGAGCTTTTTTTAATATTTTTCATCAATCATACCTACGGCCACAAAGCCATCCCTCAGTATTGAGGCAGTGTTTAAAATAAATTATGTACTACCTCTATTAATTCTGAGTGCCTCGTTGGCCGAGCGGTCGCAAGTACGACTGCTGGGCAAGGGGTCTCGGGTTCCATTCCCGGGTCGGGCAAAGTATTACTGGGTTTAAAAAAATCTCAGTAGTAGCACGGACTCTGGACTGTGCCCGGTATATGGCAATAGGCTCACCCCTATTACATGGGACTCATAACTTAATAGTGAAAAGTGGGTGTTATTCCACACCATTGTGTGGTACCTGTAAGGGGCAGCGGGTCCAGCGTTAGCGCTTGTCTACATGTAGAATAGAAAACCAAATTATATGGAATTGACGTAATTTTTGCACTAACTTGTCAGTGTCATCCCCATACATTTTGATTTCTACTGACTCTGTAGACAAGCGCTAAAGTGTAGACAAGCGCAACTAACGATTACCATTACGATATACACTAACGATTACCATGTATGGGGACGACACTGACAAGTGTCAAAATTTGCGTCAATTCCATATAATTTGGTTTTCTATTCTACATGTAGACAAGCGCTAAATGGCATTTGGCTACAGCTGCTGGTACCATGTTATCCATCGTACCTACATGTTGTTCCAAATAAATCTGTTTCACGCACTTTCATTGAACCATACTGGACCGTACATGCAAACTGAATCGTGTTAATTTTTTTATTCAGCCGTATTTTCAGAGTTTCATTTGGAATGTTAAACAAACTGTTTCAAAGTTCTATATTTGCATGTAACTCAATATGGACATGTTCGTAAAAATTGATATCGGACGATATTGTTCTATCAAACGACGTTGTAAACTTTATGTACCCTGCAACTCGACTATGACAATTGGGTACTTCCTTTAATCAAAAATAAATTATTTCGACTGTTCAATACAATGAAATAATCACACTTTCATTAATTGATTTTCAGATTCAAGATTGAAAGACGAGACTGCCTCGTTGGCCGAGTGGTCGCAAGTGCGACTGCCAGGCAAGGGGTCTCGAGTTTGATTCCCGGGTCGGGCAAAGTATTACTGGGTTTTTAAAAATCTCAGTAGTAGCATGAAGTCTGGACATGTGCCCAGTATATGGCAATAGGCTAGTCCTATTACATAGGACTCATAACATAAATAGTGAACAAGTGGGCGTTGCATTGTATAGTGGCATAAAGTGCCGTAATGTGCGCCTCTGTCTACCCTTTCGGGGATAAAAGGCGTGATGTTATGTTATGTGTCATTAATTGATTTCATGACCAACTTAATTTTAGTATTTAACAAGCAAATTAAAAAAAAAAGTATGCTGTTTTACGCTAAAAAACGTGAATACATAATCTCGTACAAAATTCATAGAAAACTGTCGTTTTTGATAGTTCGAAAAAAGTAATTAATTTGACTAGTTGGGAAGTACCCAATTACTTATATCTAACGAGTTGAGAGCTTATGGAGTGGCCAGTGAAGTACAGGAACTCCTGTTCTATCGCTTTACGTGACAAAATTCTCACTCAATAGCACAGATTTTATAATTATCCCAGAGTTCAATGGTGAATGATTGAAGGCACGTTTGGTGCGGTGGTTGAGCAACGGGCTGCCGTGCAACGTGTCGCGGGTTCGGTTCCCGCACGGAACAACACTTTGTGTGATCCACAAATTGTTGTTTCGGGTCTGGATGTCATGTGTATGTGAACTTGTATGTTTGTAAACGCACCCACGACACAGGAGAAAATACTAGTGTGAGGCAACGTATAAAAAAAAAATATATACATACTGACTATACTTTTGTCTATCCTTTGACAACAACAGATTCTGAACTACTATGTACCAATACTTATCAAATTACAATAATCTAAAATCCATATTTAGTAAAGCTTACGTTAGACTTTTTGTATATTTGATGGATCGACGTTTGACCACTATCTCGCCTGATGGTAAGCGATGATGCGGTCTATAGTCGATAAATTATTTATGGCAAACGATAAAATCTCAAATATACACAGCATCTCACTAACAGTACAATTTTCAACCAAAAACCGCGCGACCTATTCCGAAGCTATCAGCTCCATATTACTTCCATTGCAAATATAAATTTAACCCTAAACCGTCCAAACCCTCTCCGGGCACTAAATAAGAGTCCGATATAGCGGCATACGTGCGTGTGGAGCGATCCAATTACCGGCATAATGGCTGCCACACATCAATCTGATACCACTTCTATTAAATTTTCCCAGCTGATACCGAAAATTTTAAGCAATAATTCGAAATTGTGGCAAAGAATTCTTTAATCATGTCATTTTATAGCAATATCTTAAGATTGGTTTTGAGCTATGATGACCACAGATTAGCTTTAACATAGTTACTGATTAGTCTTCTTTTCATTTTGAGAACTTAAGTCTCAATTAGACACCTTTTTTATCTAAATTAATTGTTTTACACCCAAAATATTTACAATACTATAAACATAACCTTTATCCATAACTATTTCCCAGTTCCATTTATAAATCCGATAAAACCAAAGTACACAAAGTTATATCGTCATATCTAGAACGCTTCCATTTCGGTATTACAAATTTCTATATTTCCCGCCTGCGTATTTGGCACCCTAAAACAACAAGCTTGCAATCTCTTTACCCGAGTGAAGCCACAATACTACATTGTTTGAGACTACAAAATAAACCTGTACACCGAGTGCACGGTGGCAAGACTCGAAACCACATTTTATGGCATCTCAACACGCGACTGTAGCAAAACTTTTAAGTATAATGATCACGTCTGTAATTTTACAAAGTTCAACAGAAATTTTAATGGTAAAGCTAAATTACTTTTAACTACTAACGACTTTATTGAATCAAAATGTTTTAATTAATCAACCCCTCTCCCATTTACCACATCCAATAAAATAAAAAGGTTCAATAAAATCCCCCACCTTCAAATTCAACCTCACAAATTCAAATATATGCAAAAGCATTTTAATAAAATCTCACTGCCGATGAAACTGAGAGCAACAAAAATCACTACCTTTGTTCTTTCGCTAACATTTCATTTCAAAAATGTTTCATTTATAATGAAAAACAATTTTGTTCCAGGTACTGACACAATGGATACGAGGAGTACCCGTGCAGCCGAACACAACAGATGAACGAAAATGTTCCACAGAATAAAAATTCAATACAATAAATGGCAGGATGGAAAGATTTATGAATAAGTTAATCGCGCGAGAGAATGCGATATGGAGGAACACAACTACCAATTCGTAATACAGAAATAAACAAACAGAGCAGGAAAATAACATACCAGAAAAAACAACAACAGCTCTGGACGATGTAGATGACAACAAAATTAGTGAAGAGCTTCGAATTGAGCTCTAAAATGAATCAGCAGGGGGAGCTAATAAAAAACATGACCATACCGAAACTATGCACGGATGATTGTGAGAATTCATCGAAAATATCGTTCGAAGTGAAGCCGCCTGACCCCAACACTACGTTCTTTTATCGACATTACATCGATACGAACAATTCCGAGTCGGAATTCAACATCGACTATTTCAACGAAACTTTCAGTGATTCGAATTGTACGTTCAGAAATGGGACGTGTAGTGATGTGGACTATAATTTCTGGGCTCTGTCGTTGTTAGTGTTTCCTCTGTTGACTTTGTTCGGTAATGTCCTAGTGATACTTAGTGTTTCGAGAGAAAGGAGTCTGCAAACAGCTACGAACTATTTTATCGTGAGTCTGGCTGTTGCTGACTTGCTTGTAGCTGTGGTTGTGATGCCGTTCGGAGTTTATTACTTGGTGAGTTATTTTTTATTCATATTTTTTAAATTAGGTGACTAAACATCCAAATTCTAACCAAATACGGCTTTGTAATTGAAGCATTACCTGAATGACCTGTTGCTGTGTAGGTATCAGGGTTAGATTCCCACCACTTTCTGATTGTTGAATGATGTCTTTGATCGAGAAAATCCTAGGTATCAATCTGTTTGAACTTAAATCTTTCACTTTTTATTAAGATTTTTTAATATTGAAATCTAGTAGGTTTGTAAACTAGAAAAACCTCTTATTGAGACACAACCTTCTTAATTTTGCCCAAAGCCATAATAAAAAAATTATGTGTACCACAAAAACAAAAAAGTAAATATTTAATTTCATTGTTGAACTTAAAACAAAGTTGTAATTAATGAGGCTCTTTACTAAGATGAAAATGTATGAAATGTTAATTGATTTAATTATTTTTTTGAATAAGTAATGGACAACGGGAATCAAACTTGAGCCTAACGATGTTTTTATTCTTAAACTGAGCTACTAATTGGATTTGTGACAGAAACAAATTGATTCCAATCTATTTCTTTTAACGTAGGTATTTGATTTGTGTTGCTGAAGACGGTATAATCGAAATTAATTATTCTGCTGCTCACAACTAACAGATTTTGAACTCTGTAGTAGTGTTATTAAGTCAAAAGTCTATTGTAGAAAGATAGGATTGGATGCCGTGTCGGACAATGATGTCCGACGCTAGCGGAGGATTAGACTTTAACAGTTTTTATCGGCATTTAAAGGCTTAAGGATATATCCCACTACCCAAGTCGTTAAACTAAAAAATAATCAGTGATTACACAGGACTTGTAGTGCAACCACCGAATACAACGGTTCCGATTCTTGAATGTACTAGAAGAATAAATTTCTCTATTCAAACAAATTTCACATTCAGGCACTTAATGATAGGACCAAAATCTTTCTTCATAATAATAATTGCGATTATAATAATATTAGTTATATCTGTCAATGGTCTCATTGCTAAAAGCTTCCACCAACGCCTGAGTACCCTAGCATTAGATGGTTGGGTCAAGGGCCTGTTGCAGAAAGCAGTACTTTTGGACACAGCGAGTATTGTCCGGAGATTCCTATCTCTGGAGCCCTAACCACCGGTAGCTTGGATTTCTCCCGTTACTGGTGGGCTACTGCTTTTTATATTTTTAAATGTTTTTATATACATATGTAATCAAATATTTAAAAATATACATACTAACCAAGTAAAGAAAATAAATAAAGGATAATTGAGATTATAACAAAACCTTCATGAAATTCCCACTTTACATAATTATGTACTAGAGGTATAATTATGTAAAGTAATACCTGTTACCTTTTAACCCTTATAAACTTTTACCCAAACTAATTATCACTATAATATATTGAATATACTAATAATAATGAAGTCGGGTCACGTCACTAGTTGGAAGTTAATTAGCGTATAATCCGGTACACAAAACGCCTATCAGTGTCTACCACTCAGCAATAACAATACGTTGCATACAAAGGCATAGATTTGCTCTGAATTCCGTGAATTATAGTAGGAAATTGTAACCTTTTAATTTACTTATTTAAACTGGTTTTTGTGTGATATAATAACTGTATTTTGGACTTCATTTTCACACTGTATTTTTAATATTTGTTGAGCGAAAATTTGTTTCGAAGTTTGATGTTTTTAAAGACTTTCTGGCCCTCCTAAACAAGCCTGTAACGGTTTTTGTATAATTTGTGATATAATTTCTCGTTGGTCGAAAACTCGTAAATGCAACAGTCAAGTATACAGTCTCAGGTTCGATTATCTAGCAGAATCATCATCATCATCATATCAGGCACAGGACGTCCACTGCAGAACATAGGACGTCCTTATATAGCAGAATAGTTTTCGAAAATATCTGAAATTATGCTCGAAAATCTCGAAATACATTATTATGTCAAAAGCCTCACCTCCAATTACACAACATTGTGTAATCAGTGAAAAGAACAAGCTACATTGAAAAACGAGCACCATTGCCTTCCCGTCTTCGTGAGTTTTAGGGCGTGACATAATGTTAAGTGTTACCTATACACACGAAGAATACCCCCCTATCCTCAGCGCGTATAGGTATGCCTAATACCATATTATAATCCACTGCACAATATGTGTCTATCCATCTAAATAACAATACGCATGTGACAATGGATCGCTCCACGTATCGAGTGTTCGATATATTGGTTGCCATCGACTCGACACGTGTCGTATTAAATGGTACCATATTTATGGTATGTATGTACCATAACATCACCCCTTTTATCCCTGAAGGGGTAGGCAGAGGTGTACATTATGCCACTGTACAAGGTAACACCCACGTTTCACTATTTATGTTATGAGTCCCATGTAATAGGGTGTGAGCCTATTGCCATATACCGGGCACAATTCCAGACTCCGTGCTACTACTGAGAATTTATAATGGACACCCTAATGTACGTGTGAAATTATATTTTAAATAGTACATATGTTGACTTTTATTTATATATAAAAAAGTGTGATACTTTCATGATCAACCTAAAGTTAAAAAAATATAGATAAATGTACTGAGTTAAGATATTGAGGACAGTAAGAGGCTGACAACTGGCTGACTAGAGGCTAAACAAAAGAATAGGTCGGTGTTTTCATGGTATAATGGCTTATAAGGTTAAGTATTTTCATTTAAGGTCGATTATCTGTAAGTGTATTACACTGCCCACGCCCACAGGTCAATGAGTTCAAATAACCACATTGTTGATTAAACGTGAACATTGTAATTACGAAATAATTACCATCTACTAATGAACATTTACTTACAATTTCAGAAATATCCATTTAATTAACAATACCTACATATAGATTGGACCATTACTTGTATTGTAAAGTTTTTGTTTTATAGAAACAGACGTATTGTCACGTCTTCTGTTCCCCGAGTGGTTAAGCAGAGGAACACGCAATTATTTATATTGAGGTGGATAATAATTTACGAAGATCTTAACTACTATTCATAAGTTGTTCCTTCTTCTCAGCATTGTATAAAGATAAATCATTTATATTTCATGTTTTAAAAAATCTGTTCATATAAATAACTTTGTGTAGTAAATCGCTACGCCAAGCAACGGCGTAGCACTGTATGCTACGAGAATATAAAAATCAAATAAAATTATTTTCGAAACACGATCCATCTTAAGAATAACACGTGTATGTATATAAACTATTATAATTAACTAATATAGTACTGCACTTATATTTTTAAGAGATTTCATTGTATACGCGTGGGTATCACCGTAGCACAACTCACGCTACGCCGTAGCCAAAAGTATTCATATTTTTGCGACTTATAAAAACAAGATATAATAAGCACAAAGTGCTACATTAAATATTAATACAGATATGAAAATGAATACTATGCTACGAACATAAAAACTTAAAATGAGGAATATAAAACCAAACTATTTTTGGGAGGCACTTCGACGTAACAAAACGGACGAAGATAAAACGAAACCTCTTTTACCCACATCAAGTTTATTTCCATATAAACGTACTGTTATCAAAATTAAAATTCCGAAGCGAAAAATGTTGAAATCCTTCAGATTTTCCGGACCCTACAAGCCAATTAAAACTGACCACAGATGTGCTAATCACGTAACCCCCACCGTCCATTGGTCAAACAGTACCTTCATTATTTAACCCCACTGATCACCAAGTCGGTCGTTTATACCAACAATTAGAATTTATCAAGGGGTTGTTGGTTCAAACAATTAGGTTGTTTCGCCGAGATAAGGGTTGATGTGCTACCAAAAGGCATGTTGTCACGTTATGTTAGTTAGGGGTTAAATATACTGAACATGTGTTTTCATATTACTTGATGACTTGAAGTTTTCGTTCATGTTTAATAAATTTATTTTATTGTTTTAGCGACAATGTTGATTTTCAATTAGTTTACTGAAGTTTGGCTATGTAATGAAGGGTGAATAAATCTAATTTTAATAATAAGGGCTACTGGTCGGTTGATTAGGTCATTCAGAGGATTTCAATTTCAGAAATACAGATTGTGAAAAATTATTCATAGTGATAATAAAATATGAACCTGAATATTTGTTGATATACATAGATAACAACACGCCTTACATCCCCAATGGGGTAGGCAGAGGTGCACATTATGCCACTGTACAATGTAACACCCACTTTTAACTATTTATATTATGAGTCCCATGTAATGGGGGGTGAGCCCATTGCCATATACCGAGCACAATTCCAGACTCCGTGCTACTACTGAGAATTTTTAAAAACCTAGTAATACCTTACCCCACCCGGGAATCGACCCTAAGACCCCTTGCCCGGCAGTCGCACTTGCGACTTGCGAGGCAGATTTAGGTATATTATAATTTATCATAGCCTCTCACTCCCACTGTAGAGGTATAATGATATAGTGGTACAATTTCTATTATGCCACAGGCAAACCAATCTTTTTTTATGGAGTAGGGGGCAAACGAGCAGACGGGTCGCTGGTAAGCGATCAGCGCCACCTATAGATACCCACAACACCAGATGAGATACAAGTGCATTGCCGGCCTTTTAAAAAGGAATACACTCTCAAACTTGAAGGTATGAAGGTCGTATCGGTTCGGAAATACCGCCGACGACAGATCATTCCACAGTTTTGCTGTGCGAGGCAGAAAGCATCGTGAGAAGCGCACAGTTGTGGCCTGCCTACAATCTATATGGTGGAGATGCATATACTGTCGTGAGGGTCGATGGCGAAAAGATGCGGCAGGTATCAGGTCAAACAATTCCTCAGAGCACTCCCCGTGGTATAAGCGATAGAAAATGCACAACGAGGCAACATCTCTTCTCTACGCATTGCCAAAGGGTCTAACCGGTTTGAAACAGTATCCAGTATTGTTTGTCTTCTAACCGTCACAATTAGAGCTTTACTTAACTTCATGCTTTAAAATAGTGATAAATTTGACATCATACA